AACATATTTTATTCGCATTCTGCAGCATAAAAATATTTGTTGGTTTTAGGACCTGAATTTGCTTGCAGTTTATTAGTCCTGCATTTATCATCGGACATACTTGGGATTGCGAATACATTTGGAAATATTTCCTGGTTTATGTTACTTAAAATTGGAGCTGTCGCTTTAAAAAATAGCAGACGTCGTTTGAAAACAATCACACTTAGATCCTAGTCGATGGAGTTCCTGGTGACTCTGTCGGCTCCGAAAATGAATTACAGGTGGTATGACTAAAAGAGGCTGCAAGCACAGAAATGTACTCAAAAGTAAGTGATTTATGTTCAACAGATTTTACCAACATGCTTACGTTTGGTACAGAAATGCAGGAAACTGGCAGTAGTTATAAGAAATGTCTCATATTAGAGAAACATTATGTATTGTGCATTCCTCATTAGCATGGTTCATAATATTAAAGTATTTTATACAGTACGAGATTTTGATCTGTATTTGAGCATCTGTCTGATCACCAGCGGGGAATAAACACGCTAAAAATTAAAATTTAATCAGTGGACATTCTTCCCATTGCTTTTCGATGGCTATATTAATGAGAACACATTTCATGGAAGAGATTCACGATACGCTGAAATTACCAATCTGCTTATACCGTAACGAATTATATCCTATAAAGACTTACTTGAGGGGTGGTTGTCTCTGGTTTAAGAAATTGCAATGATTATTCTAAGGAGATGCGATTCAATTTATGCAAACATCGCATGTTTTTAGATGGGAATCATACGGACATATGAAGACATAGACAGACACAAGTCGATCATACAGCAATGTGGAGTCGAGAAAAATGTACTTACAGCTTAAATACTTTTTGTCGGTATAATTTACCTCAGCGATGGGTAAAAGCTTAGCGAAAGTCCAACATCCCTACTAAATGAAGAAATTTGACTTCGCTTTCCTGATTTCAAGTAGCCTTGACATTTTTATTTAATGTTTAAAGAATTTTGGCACACCTAGTCACTGAACTAAAAGGTGGCTTGATTGTACTTTATTTCTCACAGGTTCCTCAGAAAATCGACTTCCGATACTAAGTCGCTGTGCACAATACCGTCCTCACGCCCATCCACGAAGGTTTCATTCGCCTTCATCGCATAGGATCATGCGGCGAACTGTTGAACGCTACCCTTATCATGGGAAGGTCGGACCTTGCCTTACCCGGCCACCTTACCGGGATGGCAAGCGGAAACGTGCAGTCAAAGTAAGTTTACTCTCCTTCATACACGTCACCTCACATTCAGGTATTCACCATAGCAGATGAATCAATGTACCTACTCATATTTGGCGTACCCTCTCTGGGTCTAGAAAAACATTTGAAAGATAAAATCAAGAAAATTTGTCCACCGAAGTCACTGGAAAAGGTCGAGCATCCCGACACGGAACGCTTCACAGAAACCTTTTTGACGAAGTTTGAGAATGTTGGTGCTGCCAGGTGGGATATTACTGTTTCCCTCTGTCAGAATTCTCAAATGTTATGCTGTCCAATCAAACGTATCCTACTCTTGTGTCGTCTAATGTTCGACTTTGCTTTGTACTTTGACATAGTACTGTCGTGCGTTTATACCTTAACCTTTTTATCGAATTAACGGAAATGTGCGCATTCAGGAATGCCATCTGCCAAATTTGTGAAGGACCGTGGGGATCCTCTTTTCCCCACTTAGCCTTACCGATTACTTTTTAGCGCCCCACCATGGTGTGCTTTATTTTCTAAGCTATGATCCAATATTTCACCACCACC